GGGGGGGGGTAGGGGTGAGGATGGGGTAAAAATATTGAATTTAAAAACAAACTTTAAATTATTATTTTTTTTGGGGGTGGTTGGGGGGGGCTGGTTTGAGGGTAGGGACCAATAAATTGATTTTTGAACAATTTTTTTTTAATTGAAAGTTGGAAGAGAGTTTTGGAAAATGTTTTCCTTAAATTTTGAAAGGAAGTCATTTTCCTTAAATTTGAGGAAAATAAGTTGATTTGGAAAACATTTTCCAAAACATTTAACCCAACCAAACATGAGAAAATTGGAAAACATCGGAAAAGGGGATGATGGAAGGAAAATAAGGGATTTTTTATATTTTTTAAAATGGTAGGGAAAATATGATAATAAATGGTGTGTATAAGTAATTTTTTCTAATAATAATAATAGAATTTGTATGGAACTGATTAATTTTTGAAGAATAAATTAAGCATTTTAAGTTTTAATACAAAAGACTTAAATTCCGCGTTGTGACCTGCCTCAGCCCATTTAAATTTTTTTAAAAAGTGAATATGTCGTCCCCTGACCTGTACGTTCTGCCCGTTGTCAATCCTATTTTTAAATATGGTTATGCTGGAAAAAAAGTATCTATAATTTAAAAACAAAATCAGAACAAAAAAAATTAATCTTATCTAATCAGGTTATATGCTAAAGTAAATTAATTTGTATTTTGAGTTTATTTGACTCTATTGAAAGATATTGACAATAAACTTATTTGTAATGTTAGCAGTTTTAAGTGTTTAAGTCATTTTAACAGAAAATGTGTTTATTTGTATTTTTAAATCAAATGTATTAATTATTTAATTATGTATTGAGAATTGGACATTTGTTAATAGTAAAAAAAAAAAAAAAGAGGAGTGAATACAAGAGAAGTGATGAACAACACGTAAAAAATAAGAAAATAGGCCCACTGTTCAAGTGTCAAAAAAATAAATAATGAAATCTCAAATAATTATTGTTGGTTGTGCCTCTTCGATAAAATATTTCAATTCCTTTTAGACTGATCAGATTTTGGCTTGCCCCTGTGAACTTCTAGCCATAGTAATTTTTTTGAGAGACTCTATTTAGTTAAAATGTGACTTTACTATATAATTTCATTAATTTGAGTGTCTATTTAAGGAATCAACTCGTGTTAGTAAGGAAAATTGTTTCATCGAACTTTTGTTTAGTCTACAACTTTGAGGGAAAGTTAGAATTTCGTTAGCTGTTTAGAGAATATTTAGTTGAAATTAAAAAAAAAAAAGTATTTGCAATTGAAATTGAGAAAGTATTATGTTAAGATATGAATTTACTTAAACGAAAAAGTGTTGCTACTGAAAATTATTATTTCACTTAAAATATTTTGCAAACAAATTTGAAATGACTTCGAAATTTCTATATATTTTAATTTGAAGTTGAAATAATTGACAATACTGTGAAACAAACATTGATTCACAATAGATATTTTATTTTAATATTTATAAATAATTAATATTTGCAAACACTGTATGTCCACAAGCCTGCCTAATATGTGCATATTGTTAGGGAAAATGCTCTACGAGTATAACACAATATGACAAAGTTTAATTACTATTACCGGCACTAACTTTTAGAGTGGGCTTCATCAAACAAATCGTTTCTACAATAAATAAATGTAAATATATATTTTTTAAAATAGGGTAATGTAGTTGTATTTATTTATTTACTTATTTTTATATTTACTAATTTTCAAATAAAAATAAATTTGACACGTTAAGATGTTGGCGTTGACTGTAGTATTGTAGTGCTTAATAATCTCCAAATGCATGTATCAATAAAATTTTTAGCAAATTGAGAATATACTAATTAAACATTGAAAATCTAACGATATTTGACCACTTTCATTATTTTACATAAAGAAAATAAGAACCACTATGTATAAACTACGGAACCGATAATAGTATAATTATTTAGCTACGTTGCAATTAGTTTTGGCAAATGAGCGGATTGGGTCAAATTTGGACGGGTTGAAAATGGGTCAACATAAAATGGGTAATAATTCAACATGCCCATATTTGATATGGGTAAAAATGAATTGGGTAACAAATGGGTTGGATAAAATACTAGTTTACCCATGTTTTACCCATATTTTCATGAGTAAATAGTACTCTACTTAAGAATTCAACATGGAGAAAATATTTTAGTCTTTTTTTAGATGAAATATGTTGAAAATGCTTCATTAGTTTTATTGTATCATAAAAGTAAAAAATAAAATCCTATAACTTTTCAATATAAAATAAATTTGTGTTTTCCTGGAAAACAAGTAAATTTTTTATTTATTTTCTCATGTTTGGTTGGTGAGTAGAAAATATTTTTCGGAAAAGATTTGTAGTGTTTGGTTTATGAAGGAAAAATATTTTTGAGAAATATCTTTTATTTTTACTAGAGTAGAAAATAATTTTTGAAATTGAAAATATTTTTTAAAAACAATCTTAAAATATTTTTTTGGGGGTGGGGCGTCGAGGGTAGGGGTGAAAAAATGAAATTTTGAAGTTCAAAATATTTTTTAAAAATAAACTTAAAATTATTTTTTGGGGATGGTAAGGGATGGGTGGGGGAGGGGGTCGAGGGTAAGGGTGAAAATGTTTTCCTTCATAGCAAACACACCCTAAAACATGCTTAATACACTTTAAGCAATATAATGTCAATACTAGTACATGATTTGCTTAGTTTATGTTATTATTTATTATCCAATATAAAATTAAATAAATAAATAAAATATAATTAGAATTAACAAAAGAAATGTACATTTAAAATAGATATTTTTTGAGGGCCAAAGACTTCACATTTTCAATTATAGAGAAAAATAATTAGTTTTATAAAAGAACATAAAAAGGAAGAGAAGTTACAATATATTTGGTAATATCATGAGTTTTGAGTGAATAAAAGTTAGAAGCTTAACTCATTTGGTTAATTCATATTTTACCCATATTACCCATATTTTACCCATATTTTACCCATATTGAATATGAGTATCAATCCATATTTTATCCATGTAAAAAGTCACTCACCTAATTCATTAAATATGAGCGAGTTGAGTGGGTTACCAAAATGGGCTATTTTGCTGGCACTAATTGCAATCTTATAACAAGAAGCTTGAAGGAATCACATTAAATTAAAATAACTAAATGTTGGTTACTTAGCATTTTAAATTAATAAAATCCATCATTTGCATAGCCATCCGTTAGTGGCAGTTTCTTACATATTGTTTTAAGTGACATATGTGGCATTACTATCCTCTCTTTATGTGCATTTCATTTGGGCTTAATTGCTCATTATTTTGGTGGAAATAAACGTTGGTGGACTGGTCATGGGCAGCATATATATATTTGTTGTCCGTTGTTGACATTAGTTATTAACATTATTTCACTCTTCATTCCTCTTTATTCATCGTAACTTATGTAACCTCAAGAGAGACGAATCCAGAATTTAAAGATAGGGAGGGCACTACTAAGAGTGACTCAAGGGTATTTGGGCTTAATTGCTCATTATTTTGGTGGAAATAAACGTTGGTGGACTGGTCATGGGCAGCATATATATATTTGTTGTCCGTTGTTGACATTAGTTATTAACATTATTTCACTCTTCATTCCTCTTTATTCATCGTAACTTATGTAACCTCAAGAGAGACGAATCCAGAATTTAAAGATAGGGAGGGCACTACTAAGAGTGACTCAAGGGTATTTGGGCTTAATTGCTCATTATTTTGGTGGAAATAAACGTTGGTGGACTGGTCATGGGCAGCATATATATATTTGTTGTCCGTTGTTGACATTAGTTATTAACATTATTTCACTCTTCATTCCTCTTTATTCATCGTAACTTATGTAACCTCAAGAGACGAATCCAGAATTTAAAGATAGGGAGGGCACTACTAAGAGTGACTCAAGGGTAAGGCTAGGAGTGACACAAGAGTAACGTTAGCATTTAGCAAAGCCTTCTTAGGCCTCCAAAAATTTGAGGCCCCAATAAATTTTAATAGTGAATTTATTATTTTATTTCACTTAAATCAATATTGAACATTATAATTTTAAAAAAACAAAGATCTATCTACTTTTTATCAAAAATATTTTAGAACTTTGAATAAACAACTCAAATCTTCATATTAATAAAACTCATCTATAAAATGCGAAGAATTGTCTCTAAAACTAGCACTTGGTTGAGAAGAATTATGTTTCGTAAAAAATCTATCCATCTCAAACCACAAGAATCAACAACAAATTAGTGAAAAAAAATATGCTTAAAAAGAAGAACTTACCAATTTACGCAGAGATAATAGAAGTAGGAGTTCAATTATGCAATGAAGAATACTTGTAAGTTGTAGATTTAAAATTAGTCTTATATTTTGTTTAGAATTGTGCTAGGTAAAATTAGTC